CCTCCTCCTCCTCCTCCTCCTCCTCCTCCTCCTCCTCCTCCTCCTCCAGGCCTCTGAACACAAGCAGACAAAATGAGTTGTATGTGATTTGTTTTATCTTGTAAATAACTGAACTGATGTTCTCACTATGTAAGATATTTATGCTGCTCAGAAAGAGTTTGACTAAAAATGAAATAAAATGCAGAGAACAGATTGGAGTCTTTTTTATTTTAATTTAATTTTATATAGATATTTCTCTTGAACAGGGTTTTGCATCTGGTCATGTTGGAAATTCCATTTCATTATTGGGTAGACGAACAGAAAGACTTAAGGAGCAACTTTTGACGGGTGGATGATTAATATTGTAAGCAATGCGCCAACTTCCATTTTGGTGTATGGCTGCATCAAGGTGTAATTCATTCAACCTTTATTTATACAGTTACGTCTCTTTGAGTCATCAGGTCTCATTTTCAAGAGACCTGTTTTAAACAAAACCACAGATAACGTACACAAAAATAAACAGCCATAAATTTCATTTAAAATGAGAAGTACATGAAAATAGTGTTATAGAAAAAAATAATGTTAGTTATGTATTGAAACCCCAGATTCTAAGAGTGTAATTAAAAAAGTATATTAAAAAAATACTTTATTAATCCCAAAGGGGAATTAAATGTTGTAACTCATTATCCTTGTTTCATTGAGATGTTCTAGATGCTGATGCTGTAGACAGGAAGCGTGGCCCTTAAAAGCTGTCGCCACTGGGTTTAAAAGGCGGAGCAGGATATGGTCCATGCCTCACTGGGTCTGTCCGAGAACCATAAAAAAACCACTGATGTCCGCCTAAAACCTCATTCTTTATTCAAGCGTAAATGCGCACCACTGTTCCATGTACCTGGTGCGTAGTGGATGACGGACGTGCAGCCTCTGCATGTTTATTCATGTCAGACAGTCACAGGAATAAGAAGGGAAAAACTTCCAATGGGGAATAAACAAGTTTTTCTGTTTGAATGAGTAAACGTAGAAGAACACCTGCTAATAAAGAGAGAGCAGGCCTGTGTTTTTTTATTGTTTGTTTTTTATATACAGTCGGGCAAAAAAGCATTTAGTCAGTCACTGATTGTGCAAGTTCTCCCAGTTAGAGATCATGGAGGGTCTGAAATGTTCATCTTAGCTGCATGTCCTCTGTGAGAGACATAATCTAAAAATAAAAATGATCCAGAAATCACAATGTATGATTTTTAAAATAATTTATTTGTGTGTTACTGCTGCAAATAAGTATTTGAACACCTGTGAACATCAATGTTAATGTTTGGTACAGTATCTTTGTTTGCAGTTACAGAGGTCAAAGGTTTCCTGTAGTTCTTCACCAGGTTCACTGCAGCAGAGATTCTGGTCCATTCCTCCACAGATCTTCTCTAGATCAGCAGGTTTCTGGGCTGTCACTGAGAAACAGAGTTTGAGCTCCCTCCAAAGATTTTCTATAGGGGTTAGGTCTGGAGACTGGCTGGGCCACTCCAGAACCTTGATATGCTTCTTACAGAGCCACTCCTTGGTTCTCCTGGCTGTGAGCTTCGGGTCATTTTCATGTTGGAAGACCCAGCCACGACCATCTTCAATGTTCTCACTGAGGGAAGGAGGTTGTTCCCCAACATCTCTCACTACATGGCCCCGGTCATCCTCTCCTTAATACAGTGCAGTCGTCCTGTCCCATGGCAGGTGTTCAAATACTTATTTGCAGCAGTAACACACAATTACATTATTTAAAAAAATGAAACATAGTGATTTCTGGATTTTTTTTAGATCATGTCTCTCACAGTGAACATGCACCTAAGATGAACATTTCAGACCCTCCATGATTTCTAACTGGGAGAACTTGCAAAGTCGCAGATGTTAAAATACTTATTTTCCTCACTGTTTGTACAGGCCCCTTCCAAAAAATTAGAATATCATGGAAATGTTTAACTTCCATAATTCCATTCAAAAAGTTGATATTTAATAGATGATAGATTCAGGGCCCATAATTTAAACAATTTCAAGTATTTGTTTATTTTTACATAATTTGGTCTTCCAGCTCATGAAACCACGAAAACAGGATTTAAAAAAATTAGAATACAGTGAAGACATCAACCCACACTACTCAGGTTTTGCAGAAAAAAATAAATTAGGATGACAACAACGTGGGGGTTACTGGTGCCCATGTCCAGCCATCACTGTGAGAGGTGGGGTAAACCCTGGACAGGTCTCCAGTCCATCACAGGGACACATGGAGACAAACAACCATTCTCTCTCTCACCTAGGGACGATTTAGAGTTACCAGTCAGTCCAACATGCATGGTTTTGGTCTGTGGGGTAGAGTACCTGGAGAAAACCCGCGCAGCACGGAGAGAACATGCAGAGTCCACCCTGAAAGGCCCTCGGCCGGGACTTGAACAGGTGGCCTGCTGGCTGAGAGGCAGCAAGTCTACTAACTGCGCTACCGTGCCACCAAGAACAAAACCATTAGAAATAAAGAAGGTATACATCTTTGAAAATATTACAGAGATGAAAAGTCTTATTGTACTTCCTGATTTGCATTTTATTCAATCCAAGTTAGAAAAAAAAATACAAATTTTATCTCAAATAGTTGCAAAGTTATTTTACATGAGGATGCTGACAGAGTTATATGCAGCACTTTTTGTCCAAGAGGCACTAACTTAAATATTCACTCAGCTAGAGCTGCAGGCTCATCTCATTTGTCTTACGATGGCCCTTGTCTCTTCCTCCCTCTCTCCTCCTACCTGTGGCCCAGAAATCGATCTTGGCAAAACATTTAGATGGATGTACCAAATGATGCACTACACCTGGGAGAGAAGCAAGAGAGCACACGCTTGATCAATAGGCTATACGTGAAGATACACTGATGTTTCTTAGCTGAAACCTTTTCAGTGTCTACAGTGATTGAAGGAGGTGACCCATCGCAAACTGAATGAAATGTGCATTTATACTTTGTCACACTTATTATAGTTATCTGACAGAAAAAAAATGACCTTTCATGCTAGATAGAAGGAGTCCTTTGCCATGTCTAATTAAAACTGATCACAATCTTCTTCATGCTGATATCTTGATTGCGTAAGACACCCACTTAACTTTAACGCATACACCATTCACATGGTGTGCACAGTGCATTTTCTGAAAGAGGGACCCAGTCCTGCATGCTGCTTAAAGTCCAGCACCCAGGAGTGTAGACGCACGTGCTCTGAAGTGCTCATCACCGTCAGAATATTATGGTTTATGGTGGAAAGGAAAATCTCCCTTTTAACAGGAAGACACATCCAGCAGAACCAGGCTCAGGACATCTGCTTCGACCGGCTGGGTTTGAGAGGACAGGAAGGAGGAACAAACGAACAGAATGACTGGTCCAGATGTTCTTTCTGTAGGAGGAAAGACAAAAACCACGTTAAGATAGAAATAATTACAAACAGGTAGAGCAGAGTAAGTAAAGACAGCAGCAGACTGAAAAGTGTGGTCAGTTTGTCCTCCAGCAGTCTAAGCCTATAGCAGCAGAACTAAGGGACAGCTCAGGAAACCCAAGCCGACCCTAACTATAGGATTTATCAAAAAGGAAAGTCTTAATCCTAATCTTAAAAGTAGACAAAGGTGTCAGCCTCGACGGAAACAGGAAGTTGGTTCAAGGAAACAGGAGCACATGGCCGATGATGACCAAAGACTGATGATGTTGCACAAGGGATCGGGCAGGAGTGTGGTGCTCTGTGAGCTCTTTCAAAACAAATAATGGAGCTCCCGCTTTCTCGTCAAAGTCCTCACTCAGTCTCTGACTTGGGTTTTCTTTTTCATCGCTTCCTCTTCCGACTGAGAAGGTTCTGACTCCACAGCTCGATCCATTTGTGGGTGTGCAGCCTTGCAACCTCAAACAGAAGCTACAGCTTCACATAAAAAAATAAAAGCCATGCCTCAGTGTTTTGAATGAAACACACTAAAAGTGAGTAAACACACTACACCCTGTCTATAAATGTCAAACATGATAAATATCTCAAATCCCCAGTCTCATGTCTCACTCCTGCTTTGTCTTTGTCGCCATCACTGCTGATCTTCCTTGAGCTTTCGTGTCTTTTCCTTCTTCCTGTAGATTTTTTGATCCTTGACAAATAACTTGCGGCTTCAGTCAGAAAAAGGCAGGGCTTGTTTGTTCGACGGGTGTGTGGATGAGATTGGATGGGGGTGTTTGTTCTATGGTGCTGCCCACACGTGCAGCTGCTTCCAGTCTTGCACATAGAAATCAAGCTGAATCGTATGACTGGACACGTCGTTACGTCTCACCCCATATGTAGAGGGTGTTTCCACAGCTGCAACTGAAACTGCTTGAAATCGTCACAAAAGGTACTTTTTAAAAACCACTTTGTGTTATTTTTCAAAGCTTGCCACTAAACAGGTATTTATTCATGTCTCTCATATTTCACTGGATATGTAATGTGAAAAAATGGAGAGTGTTGGACTTTAAATTTGTTGCTTTAGTTAGGAACTGCTGTGCTGGCTGAGACGTTTGCCAGTTTACCCACTGAGTGGGGTTACTCCAAACAATGGAGTAACAGGCGTTCCAGTTTGCATAGTTTTTTTAAAACACTAGTAGTCGTAACACATGATCACTTGGCCGGCTCCGAAAGCTGAAGAAGAGTCCTGGAGGCTCATTTGCAATCTCATTCTGATTGCTGTGCAGAATTCATGATAATAGATTTACAGTTTTTGAGTTCAAACATAAGTTAGAATTTATCAAGAACATGGTGTAAAATAAAATTATTAGAGCCCATCAACCTTCATAATCTTTTTTTCTGCCTGAATAGTGTTGTTTTATACCAAGTACAGCCATGTTTGGCCTGTAGCACGGCAAGAACTGTGAATATAATATTGGTAACATATTTCCATCTGTGCAGGGACTGTAAATACTGCTTGGCCTGATTACAGGTTCTGCTGGGAGTCATGCAGACCAGCTATAATAACTGGTTGATTGCCTGAGTGGGCGTTTGGTAACAGCAGGTTAAAATGCAACTGACTCTGCTCAGAGAAATCAGCATAAGACTTAGGCTCTGCTCAGGTAAATTTACAAAATGAGCCTTGGAACATAGACATCCACTTCTGACTGATACGTCATGATGGTGAATCAGGCGTGAGCAGCGAAGCGCTGCCAAGACCTATTGTAATCGCTCTGTTCAGGCCCGAGCTGCGATTGTTTCTGTCAAATGAATTGGTGTTGTGGGGCCTTAACAGATCCCAAAAGTCACCAAATTTGGAGGACGCATCAGGACTGGTGAAGAATTATGTATTTTAAGGGCGTGGCAAAAATCGCAACAGAAACGGCTCAAGAGCACGGCCTGGAAATTTTCAAAATACCCTCCTCATTAACTTTAGTTTGTTGTAGAAACATGAAATTTGGTACGCTTGTCCAATTCCCCAAGATGCACAGAAAACCCTCTGGCACCAACGTTGTACGATAAACAGGAAGGCGGCCATTTTGGAATGTCAGCCCAATTGTCACACCTTTTTGGATATTTACAGCCTCCATATTTGAACAAACTCCTCCTAAGGATTTTGCTCAGTCGGTTTCAAACTTGGCCATTTTGGTCAAAAGCTGAATGAGCTTGTGATGCTTTTCAGAGCAGGGTTAAAATGTAGTACAGCTGAACTGCCGTCAACTTGAATTCTGAGACATGAGGAAGCAGCAGAGAGAGAGCAGACAATCACTCACTCTCTTTGCCGACATCAGAGCTAACAGCAGGGCTGTTTTTAACGACAGAAATTTAAGTAAAACCTGATCTAAAGGCTCAGAAGGAGCTTTGATCAGAGCGTGCAGGACCATAATTAGGTCCCACTGTGGAGCTAGTGGACGTGACACAGGTCTGTGTCTCCGTACACCTTCATCAGCTTCTTCATCATCCGCTTGATCAGCAGGTGGTTAAGAACTGTTCTGTCACCGAAAAACCTCATGACAGTAAGAATAGCTGCAGCATATGTTTTAATTGTGCTGAACGCTAAATTTCTGTCCATCAGTTGCTGTAGAAATGACAGCACGCTGCCTAGTGGACATGAGATGGGCTCCATGCCTTTCTCTGCGCATCAGCACTGAAGAACTGTCCACTTGATGTGTACAGCGTTGTGGTGGAAGCAGCTCGTGTGCCATGAAACGTACGCACCACATCCTGTGGGAGGCCCATCTTTTCTAAACGGATCTGTTCAGCGGCCAGACCCAAAGATGCTGACCTATTTCTAGGTAACTCCTGATCACTCTTCCTGCATGGAGGAGAGCGCCCTACCCACGGCAGTTTCCACGGCCGACCCGATATCAGTCGCTGCACATTCGGGAACCACAGAGAGCTTATGCGTTCGGGAGCTATGAGGATGACTGAGAGTTCTTCCTCCCGGACCCGGTCCAGGGTCCGTGATATCAGCAAGACTGGAGGGAATGCATAAAGGAGCATTTTTGGCCACGGGCTGTGAGCGAAGGCATCCACTCCTAATGGTGGGTCGTCTCGTGGGCTCAGTGAGAACCATAATTGACACTGGGCGTTCTCCCGTGTGGCGGACATATCCACTGCTGCTCGGCCGAACCTGCTCCCAATCCAAGAGATCAGCTGAGGATGGAGGCTAAAGTATCTGTGGCGGGGACCGCCCCTCGACATGATATCCACTCGCCCGTTCAGGACTCTGGGAATGTACACTGCTCTGATGGAGAACAGGTTTTTGTGTGCCCAACACAACAGCTGTTTCGCAATGCGTAACAGTCGGACTGAGCGCCTCCCTGACGGTTTATGTGATCTGCCATCACTTTGTTGTCTGTGTGGATCAGAACATGCTGATCCTGCAGCAGAGGGCAAAATGATGAGTCACATTTCAGACCGTGAAACATTCTAGCACATTTATGTGAAGCGACATGTGATCCAGCCACTGTGCTCCCACTGCTTGGGACAGACACATTCCTCCCAGCTTGACAGGAACGAGTCTGTGAAAACTGAGACGTGTAACGTAGGCCTGCTGATGGGAACTCCCTCTGACAGAATGAGGGGGTTTCCCTAGATTCCCTGATTCAGATCGGTTCTCACGGAGGGGGGCACAAAGATAATCCGCCTCTTTTGGCACACAGGATCTATGCGCAGGCAGGCGAACCATCTCTGAAGGCATCTCATGTGAAGTAGGCCCAGCGGAACCACGATGTGGGCTGCTGACATTGTCCCAGGAGTTGCATGACAGGCAGAGCTGTCAATACGCTGCAGGGTTTGACACGGCGGAGCTGAGCTGACAGAGCTTCGGCTCTCAGCTGTGATAAACGGGCTCTCATTGTGGTTGAGTTTAGCTCCACTTCCAGATAAACAATCATCTAGGGGTTGAACGAGTATATAATTTTTAAACTCGACATTAGCATAATAAAACCCGAGTAGAACTCGAGTATTTGATGACGGCATAGCGTCCCGTCACAGAAAAAACACTCAGCGAAGCTGCTGCCGCATTGCCTTTTTCGAGGGAACCATCCGATTCACCGCGAGGAAAAAAATGTTAGAAAAGACGATGGTGTCGTCCAGCGAGTAGCGGCCCGTCATGGAAAAACACTCCTTGGCACTTACCTTGAATAAGGCTACTCGTCTCTGCTTCTCCTCGGGGAGGAAGAGCTCACCGGGACGGCAGGAGGTCGGCGTGGCGGAGACCCAGGCATCCTTAGCAAAAGTTGTGCCGGTCAATGCTGGACATCTTTTCTTTCTTCGTTCTTCTGACAGTGCTAGCTAGCTGGCTGAAGAAAAAATGGGAGCCGATTGCCCTGTCTTACCGTAATTTATGCGGACCGGGGGTGGGGCCCACACAGCCGGTGGGCGCATATTAAAGTTTTCAGTGCTGCGCACGACGGGATAAATCCACTAGCAATAGTTTTAAAGGGCGAAGCCTATACGAAATATAACAAGATGTAATTAAAAGCATCAAAAATAAAAACATAAAAGCAAAGAGAAACAATGAAACAGTAAATCAAATGACACTGTCTTAAACATCAGTGAATACAGGTGTGCTTTTCCTAGGTAAGAGTAAGAACATAGACTGACCGGTAAACAGAGAGCTTTGCCTTACAGCTCAGCTCTCTCTTCACCACAAAGGGCCGGCACATTGGCTGCAGTACTGCAGATGCTGCACCAATCCATCTGTCAAGCTCACGCTCCATTCTTCCCTCTCTCATGAACAAAACCCTGAGAGACTTGAACTCCTCCACTTGAGGCATAAAGTCACCCTCAACCCAAAGAGAGCAATCCACCCTTTTCTGACTGAGGACCATGGCTTCAGATTTGGAAGTGCTCACTATTTTCCTCCTTGCAAAAGCCAGATGCAATTTCTGAACACAGCCTGCTCTTGGTAGATGTATACATATCCTATATTCCATCTAATTTTTAATAATGAATCTAACATAACACTTAGGGATGTTTAGAGCCTTGGAAAACTTTTGTATCCATCCCTTGACATCTTCTTACCAATAATATTTTTCTGAGTTGAATTTTGACAGTGAACTTTAGGGGAAACATTTTTATAATCACTTCTTTTACACATTTTATTTTTAAAATTTTAATTGTTATTTCCCTGTAGAAATCTGATTTCACTCTGAAGCTTAAGAAGCTTTTGTTGGTTTTGTAAAGAAGGCTTTTTAATTGTGACTGATTCAAGACAGCAATAAAAGAACAACTACTTGCATAACGCTGCATAAAAAAAAAATACTGTTCTTGTCTGAAACTGGTCTGTCACACCTGTTCATTCAACAGATGGGTCTGTGCCTTCTGTAGAATTTTTCTTGCCTGGTGCCTGCTAACGGAAGTGTTAAGTTGCAGGCTCTTGGGACAGGTGCCATTCTGTCTGCATTGTAAGTTGAATCTCAGGTGGTTCATGTCGTCCACCTTTTCCTTGCTAATGTTTACCGCAAACACTTAAATCAATATTTGCAGACTCCCATCCTCCTCTGGAGCACAAGTTAGGAGTCATCAGGACTATGTACCACAGAGCAGACAGCGTCTCCACTAACTCAGGAGCCAGGCAGAAGAGAAATCCCATACAACACAGGCCCTGGAGAAATGTGGATATCATAACTGAGCTTTCGTGAAAGCAGAGAAGAACCCTCCAGCCTGCCATCAAGTGAAAAGAATGAACCCAGACCAGAGGCCATTGTGTATGTTGCAGGAGTTTCAGGGAAATTGAGATGTTTATTTTCCAAACATGATGACCCAGTGACTTTTAAACCCCAACATACATTACGGCAAAGACTGGTTCATCCCAAAGATCCAGTCCCCTGGCATAAACAAAGTAATATTGTGTATGCTTTGCAGGTTTCAAGCTGCACATGACCTGCTCTAGAGAAGATA